ATAACCGACAATTAGCCTGAAAGAATGTAGGCCAACGGCATGGTATTTGTTGTTGTGTGAAGGAAAAAGGTGGTTGCGTCCCTTGAATAATACTCAGTTGTAGTCTAGAAACGAGTTTCTTTCCTTTGCAAAGAGTTGTTTGTGGTCTGATAATGTAAGTAATTTTCGGCTGTAGTTTCCCTTCACTTCTCCATATAATAGGCCCAAGGACTAAAATTGTAAACCTATTTCACCCAATATTAATTATAGGTTATTACCGTCAATATAAAATATTATGTGTACTGATTGATTACATATTTTGAAATAAAATAAAAAAAAAACAAACATTTAGTCTTGCTTGTAGGCTGTAATATATCTTAATATTTCAAAATAAACCAATTGAATCTGTATATATTTCAACTTTAAAGTATGAATAATACATATCCCATTCAAATATACACTATTTCAAATAGTTTTTAACTAAGACCTACTGACATAGACTATTGTGTTAAAATAAAAAATTCGATTGTTTTCCTGCGTGAAAACTGAGAAAATTGTGGGATTATTATAAGAAAATTACACGTACAAATGAACACAAAATCATTGATTGAAAAATTACTCAATCATCAAATTTCCACCGTAATCATGATGGTAAACAAAAGCTTATCATCATTCGCCACAAACCCGCAATGGCCTGCAAACTTTCGATAGACAAAAGCAAGGAAGATACAAAAACCAGAATGGCACGAATGACTTCAAACTGACAGTGAACTTAAGAAATCTTTAATAAATTGACAATAGACCAATAATGAAGGTCTTTTAACAAACCTTGGTTTGACTTTGAGCTTCTCCAACCCTGAACACACGAACTCCAGAAGGTTGCAGTATATAGGCCTAATAGATACAATTACGTTTTTATTTTTCTATGACCTTTCTCCTTCCAAAAGTGAAACTACAGACCGAATGGCGGGAACAGATCACGTGACTATCACAGAACTACATGAAAAAGGTGACTCTCTCAACTCCAATATAACTCGCATTTTTTATGACCCAGTCAGTACTTTACATACTTTATTTCAATGTTTTTCTCTATTGTGGCTTCCATTAATATAATTGATTATTTGGAGTTTGTTCAAATGAAATTTAAATCGTTATTACCAATAGACCGTAGGATTTTTGTTGCTGTGACGTACCTATTGATCTATTTATCCTATTTAGGTAATTTACAGAAGTTACACAAACACTTTACTAATAAAATGTAAAAAAGTTTTTTGCAGAAAAGTTATTTAATTAATTTAATAATGATAGGTTAGGCTCAGAGAATTTGAAATTACTGAATTTGTATTCAAAAATATGAGAAATTAATATAAAAAGTTAAGATGAAATGCTGATTCAGCTAAAAGTAATTTTAAGGCTAAGACGAAAATATTGAATCTCATGCGAGTTTTCACAGGAATATTACGCCTACAGAACTGGTTATTAAAAAGATCAGTAGTAATAATTTACACCCATCATGTAGAATTGTAAACTATATTTGAAATGTTGCAGGACCGGATTGGGAACATGTTATAACTTTTGATTTAAAAAATATGATGTCTTGGACAGTCTTTGATCTTTTTATAACATGGTTTACAAACACAAACCTTTCTGAAATTTATTAGGCTAGACACGGGTCAATATTTTCCATATTATTGCAAGCTGAATAGTGGTTCTTTGCTTTTGACTAATAATACTAATACTTTATTCTAAAGCTTTTATTCTCAAGCATTCCAATGATCTCTTATATCAGCTTTTCCAAATCTAAGTAGCAAATCGGAGAGATTTCGGCTTGATAAGGCTATGCATGCAAACTATGGGCAGTTACAACACCACCTCTGTGTGCTGTTTATCATAAATTCGCCCATTCCAGTATTAATCATAGCTGAGACCTTCACACAAAATGTTCAGTGGTTCAGTGAGTTGAACGCTTGCTCACTAACCTGAAGATCAAGAGTTAAATCCCGGTATAGGATGAGACGATACAGTCGGATTTGTCAGTCCGGTTTTCCCCTGTCAGTGATGAATGTTGGAGGGGCTGACATGGATAAAGCGTCTATCGCTCGGATGGAACAATCAATTGAGGCCCCGTTACATAAACATCCTATCATAAATTTATCTTATTGCACTCTACATGACGTTGTCCGTCTTTATCAGCTTAATTTCCCCGCAATCCATTAATTTCATTGAATATTTAGACCTCTACCAGTAGCTCTATCAGTAGCTGTTAGGTCGGAATGACATTCTGTGAAATGAAACTGATCAATAATGAAATTAATGATGAAATGTATTTACATTGAACCACGTTATACTTGTCACTCGGGTTTTTTAACATCTCCAATTCTCAGTTTCTGCTCATGTCAGATTTGATTGAATTTATCGCTAGAGAATCAATATTCAGTTTAAATTCTTATTTGTTTGTGCACAGCATGATAATCCCATTTCTAGTTTTACTTTTACCTGAACATTCTTCAGACGGTATATATCACCATGAACATGACATTGTCATGTGACCTAGGCCATTGATTGAGGCGACACTGCAACAATATAGAAACCGTTCTTTCTTAGGAATTGTTATTTTCATTTCAACCCTAACAAATACTACACATAAGTGTGGGGACTTTAAAAACAAAATCTTTCAAATTACACTATATAAATTAATATAAATTAATATTATTTCAAGAGACTCGTCTATATTAGAAACCTGCCATGAATCAACAGCTATGTTGAACCAATCATTCTATGTATTTGAGTATGCAGGTTTGTGACTCTCTAGAGGTTATATTTTCAATGTTTTAATCAAGATATCTCTCTATGTATTCAAATGAATGATCTCCTGTCTAATTACAATATTGTCAGTTGTGTTGTGTTGTGTAACTCTCTGGGGAACAATCAAATCTGTAATCAATGCATCAACCGTAATATACTGTCAATAGTAATGTACATTTACATCAATAAAATTTATACCTTATTCTCACCTTGGAATTTTTTAACCAGGTTTTCTCTTTTCTGTTTTGCAATTCTGGTTTGAAGGGCTGACATGGAAAAGCATGCATTGTTTGGGATAGGACAATAGGGTGTCATCGCTCATTGCACACACCATACCATTATTGTCCCTCTTCTGTAGCCTTGTAATATGCATTGCTTAAGATATAGGAATATCGCTTTGAAACTTATTGAATTGATATATTTATCTTGTTTCCGACTCAACTCTTTTACAAGATATATTTTTCTTTTCATCTGACAGATTCGTGTCATCACTAAAGAAGAATCTAAAAAGGAAAACGTAAAAGTGATAACTGACATGAAATGAATTCTAGCATCTGAAGTTTATCGAATGTCTCTGATAATGATTATTGGGATCAGAATTTTGTTTGCATTTAGGCTACCGCATGGACACTACTAGACTGCGAATGGGTAAGATGGTTTAGGGACTCATGCACAGCTCTCATATCTAAAACATGACCGACCGCTTGCAGCTAGATGATTGCGGATTCCAGACGTTCAGGCCGACAGCACGATCTAGATAGACGCAGGTAGAGGTAATCCAAAGATTGAACAGATTCTCCTAAGCTCCACAAAGGTTGACCAGAGCTCATGATTTCTAACCTTGTTCTATCAATGCTTAAAGTGACAATCCGAGGCCATGTGAACAGGAGGAATGACACAGCGTCAGTAATGCCAAGAATTTGTCAAATGACAACCTGGTGGACAGGAGCAAAGCAATTTTATACATGGATATTCTATACATCTATTGACACCGATTCTCCCCTTAGTGAGTTTGACGTTTGTTAACCAGGGTTCAATCCCCGCACAGGTCACAGGTTTTTAAACCCAGCTTTATCCTGCCTGTCAGTGATGCAGGTCATAGGGGCTGACATGGAAAAGGCTTTACTGACCAACTAAGGAGTAGAAGAGTAGAACGAAAACTCCGTTCATTTCATTTTTTCAACCTGTACGACTATGATTATCTCATTATACCACATTGATTATTCTTACTATTGTTACAGTTTAACCCTTTCTAACCCGATTACAAAGTTAGAAATGATTTTATTGTAATCGCCTATTAGAGCGAACGAACTCAGATCATTGGCCTGTAAAGAGTTAATTTGATCTTGTCTGATTTGAATAATGTAACTGATTTGTTAACCTTCTTTATACTTGTATTTTAACTGAGATCGATGCTATTGTAGTACATGTAGATTTAGAGATACCCTCCCCCCCCCTCCTCCCCAATTTGCACTATGTACGGTGGTACCCGTTTAAAATACGTATACGTAGGCAATTCGTTCATAATTGGTCATGATTTTCCCTTCAAGAATAAGTGAATAAAGTTAAAGATAAGCGCGTAAGATTTCCTCTTTGCAATTTGAATCAATATGTATATAATAGACATTACCATCTATGTGGAATCTATGAAAGTGATGCCTATTCGTAGTGTGACAATAGCTATGTTTTTGCATCGAGTGTCGTCGTACGATATATAACATTATGTGTAAAATATTTGAGTAATTTAACTTGTAGCAGAGAGTGAAATAGTTAGTATTTGTTTGTGCATTCAGCTAATCAGTGAACCAACATAACTAGTTACATTTTCTAGCTTTTTATGTTGATTTGCATCACGCTCGCTCTCTCATTCCGAATCGACAGTGTAACGTTACTATACTGCTCGTGTAGTCCGCTACAAGTATTCGATTGACACAGCAGGGTTGAGTTGAAAACGACAAATCTTAGCTTGTTAAACTTGTCTAGCGAGTCGTTTGTTAGTCAGTGTTTTTCTTTCAAGTCGTCTACCATATATAGAATAAATATAGAAAAGTTGAATTTATAATTCATAGGTATATGGTTGATATACTATAGTTCTCTTTACCACGTGATCAATATTAGACCAATGACAGAGCTGGGAATTATAATATGTGGGTAGTTGTGGAGTAATATATTCAGTGTATCGTCAGGTAGCTTACTGCTTGTCACACGTCGGTAAACCTTCAGTCAGTCTTGTCACGGACTGAACAACAGCTGGGAGTGGAGTATTCAAGTTCTGGAACATCATTCCTGGAGATAGTCTGTAAACAGAAACATTCATCATGTCGCATTCGTCTGTTACGGAAAAACGGACTGTGATTACGTCCTCCAGTACTGGTTACGATGAACCGCATTCTACATCGTACTACAAATCGGATATTAAACCAAGAACAACCAATGTTCAACGTTCAACCACTCATTCCCCAATGAGGTCATCAGGGGGTTACACCAGGACAGTGGAGATGTCCTCCGGCTTCCTCCCATCCGCTGCAGCTTTCGCTAACATCTCCAACACCGGCGTCAAGAGTGTGAAATCCCACCGAGAAAAGGAAAAACAGGATATGCGAGATCTGAATGAGAGATTTGCCAACTACATTGAAAAGGTTCGATTCTTGGAGGCTCAGAATAAGAAGTTGGCATCTGAATTGGAAGAATTGAAGTCAAAATGGGGCAAGGAGACGAGTGCCATCAAGCAGATGTATGGTGCCGAGTTGGATGAGGCCAGGAAACTTATTGATGATGTGAACAAGGAGAAGGGACGACTTGAATTAAGGATTAGCACTATTACTGAACAATTGGATGATTTCGCTAGACAGTAAGTAATATTAATACTTCATTATGTTTCAGAGAGATGACATCATTTAGTCCTGATCTAATTATTGCAATCTCAATGTTCTCTACATCTCTGCTCTCCTGGAACCTTGATAGCTCACAATCTCACATCCAAATCAGTGTTCATACTGATGGATTTGATGTAACATTACACCATAGCAGGAGCCTCTGTCTATACCATTCACACAGATAGATTTGTTTATGATCCATAAAGATTTAAACCAATGCATAATTTCAAGTCATTACAATTTTATAATTATTATAAGATGCAACTATTCGACACGTTTTAATATCAATAATTATATATAATAATATGTATTATAGTAGTATTTTGTTAGCTTGATATTTATCACGTTATTTTTATCGTCCAACCTTTTTATTCTACAATTTATCTCAGCCACTCCTAACACATTATCTACTGTAAAGGTATTTTGCAGAGACAACAATTTCCTCAAGACACTGTGTACAAATGACACTATATTTTTAACTGTTATTTTTCATTTTTGTATATTTAATAGAACGAAATGTTCAAGTTGTGCATAGGCATATATCAGTTTTTTTTTTATATGTAACAACGAGTAAATACTTTTATAGCGACTACCCTCATCAAGAGCACATTGTTCAGCTTTCTATTTTACTGCACAATGCATCAATAAAATGAAACATGTTGGCTGTTTATGATATTGTTGTGTTTGTGTTTTACTTAAGAAAATAATAACAACAATCAATGAAGCCGGGTCAATAGCATTTATAATCACTTAGGTAACAAGTAGGTATTCAATAATATATTACTCGATAAACACTGTAAATTGTTGAAACGTTGCGTACTGGTTGTTTTTTTTATATCACAAATTGTGATCTATCCGTTAGTATCATTGAACGATTGTCAAATAATATAGGAGTAGTATATTTACTTTGCATCCCCACACAATCCACTACATGTTCAATTCCTATAAGAAATATAACTCAAAACAGGCTTATGTATTGTATCAACAGTAATCGCATTTCTTACGAAACTTAACCCTGGCTTATCCCACCCTAAAACTAAACCACACAAACCCGAGTTAATCTAAAGTTGAGGTGTTAAATCTCTGGTTAATCTTTTAGAGTTTTTAATGAGGTCATGAAATTTCACATGTTACAACAAGCCAGTATAAATATTCAGATATTCAGTTTTAAATATTCCACAAAACAGGCTCACAACATCGATATTTTGAAGAAAGTCGTCAGGTAACGATCATTTCAATCTGACCACCCGATGCCTGTGGTTCCTTAACTTGAAACACGACATTATGATGTCACTATCATAATAGCCATTCCAAGCCACCTAGAAAATCAGACTGATACAACTAAAATCTTGGGTTTTTGTGAAATTATAGAAACAGCCTTGAAAACCTCTCTTCTAGTTTCCTGTCATGTATGGGACTGACAATCCTACTGTATAACTTCCACCCACCTTGTCAAGTAACAATTGAAATATGAAATCGAATTATTTAAAGAATTTGACCTAGATATACTGGATATGTATACGAGAAGAGGTTTCATTCAAAACTAGAAACCGATATCTGCATTATCGTACATAATTATAGCTAAGACCTCTGACCTTTATAGATCTCGCAACTACATGACAATAACACTGACCCACAGGTAACTGTCATGACATTGACCCACAGGCATTCGATATAACACTAGCCCACAGGCGTTCGACATGACACTCAGCTGATTGCTTCTCACCTCTTACATCTTAGTCAAGGTGGATTAAAATTTCCCTGTATCTGTCTGGACTAGCTCAGATGGCGATATGGTCACCACTGTACCATAATTTATACCTAGTGGCCTAGTCCCTGAGCTGGTAGGACATTCCTTCCAATGTTAGCATAATTTAAAAACTGCTTTGAGTTTGCCATAGTACCTTGCGTTACAAGCTCACTTGTGGCTATTTATGTTTAATATGTATATAATGATATACCACGAATATTTAACATATAAAATAAGTCATCACTTTCCCGTGATATACAGGTATATTTGCAGCATAATATTCTCTTGATGTATCTTTTTAATTGTGTCATGTGACTTATGCAGTAATATTATATATTGTGTATAATGTACAACACCTCCACCTGTATGTACTGTCACAGATATACAACAATATACCTGCTGTAGTTATGAATAATATTGAATATTGAATAAATTAGACCTGACCTACTTTAGATAATTTTATTATATGTATTGAACCTCATTCATATTTTACAGCTAAATTGTTTATGACACGACGTTTCTACAATTTACACTGTATGTCTAGTTTATTCATAAAACACGTTTCGTCCATGATCACGATGTTTCAGCCATTTGCACTGCATGTATTGATGCTCATTTCTAATTTATAAACCCGTGTTTATGCACAACGTTTTTATATCGCATTCTGACGAATCTCTGATAGAGATTTTATCCCCCAAGCATGAGTCATACCAATACCAAGTAATCGTTAAAAAACTTTTACCCTGACCTGAAGTGTCAGATTGGCCCGTCAGTCTCTTTACTTCCTGTCATTATACCAAGATTTTTAAAAAAAATTAAATTGAACCTGATTCATTAATCAGTATATATCTGTCCACAGTTCTATTGCAATATGTTGCAATGTTCAGAAAAAAACAACAAAAAAACGGGAAACCAAAAGCTAAGTAAGTCAACGATTAAGCTCAAATAGTTCAATACCACAAATCTTTATAAATCATGAAGCCTACTGGAAAATAACCATGTCATGAACCCAAAACGAAATGTCAAGAGCTGGAATTTTCAGAGCTATTTAAATGTTATTTGGTTATGTTGTATTTCACTTGATAGATTTCTTGACAAACATAAAAACAGAAATTGATTGAATGGGTCATTGAACTTGAATTAAACTGTCGAATAAACACTATCTGGGTTGAAATATGAATAATACACCTACTTATATTGTATAGAGTTACGTCAAATTGAGTTTAAACTTAATGAAGGTTTTAATAACTACATTTGAGTTTATTGTTGAAATTAAAAATAATGACTTGTGTTGCACAAAGTTTCACACCCTCCTATTTGTTAGACCACTCTACTATTTAAGCTATATTAATAGGATTGACCTTCAATGTGATAATGTCTATTGGGAGATCATTCATCATTCTACTGACATTAATCTCCTTGATAACATAACAACTTCATCTACAGCTCGGTCTGATTCGAGTGTTTCATTACATTATGACACAAAAGTTGGATAGTTGGTGTCGTCTTCGGCAAAAAAATCTTTCTCCACAGTTGTTGCATGAGCATCGTCTCATTGAACGGCTTAGAAAATACCAGCTCCCACTGCAAAGTGGTTATCTTATGTATACCTGGTTTTCTGAAAGGGGTCAGAGAGTCCTGTGGCGAAATATTATATTTAAACATTATGGCAATAGCCGGTCATTGACAAATGTGCCTCGAGGCTAAATAAATTGACAGAGTAATTCGACCATGTAATGTTCATTGACCTGCAACACTTGGAACTCATTCAAAAGGATATTATGTAAAATCATACAGTATCTGGATCTGTAACTAGGTTTTTTATCTTGTCATCCTGTCATAGATTATGCATAGTTTACTTGGTGTTGCATATGACCCACATTTACAATTGACGCTTGAATGATTAAAACGTCTTTGTTGTAATAATTGAAAACCAGGGCCCTGACACCAAATAAAACGTATGTTCAAGTTTGACTGTATAACACTGTTTGATGCTTTGCAGTGTCGTGGATATGCAAGACTGGAAGACAGGTATCTTGCAGCTTTACATCAATACGTGTTCTCTTTTTTGTCACTCTCACTACAATGTCCAGTTGCTGGTCAGGTGACTTAACTGTGCGATAGGTAACCTAGCTATTGGATAGTTTACTCTGTCGTTGCGCAGGTGGTCATGTTTCCAGGCGGGCTGTTCTGGTTATTGGTTCTGTACCACAAATATGTCGAGCTCCAGTAAAATAGTTTATTTTAATTTATGAAAATGTAAAACAGGTTGACCTTAGCTGATGCTGTCATCGTATGAGTCATCTTATACCGGTAGATAATGCCATCTCTCGAGTTCTATTATTCCTGCAAGTGGTCTATTGATTGACAGGAGGTAGTGTCATACTGACATTCTATCCTGGCAATGCTGACAGGATGTTACCTGTAGAGTACCGAGAATTGTATTGTCAGGAACTTTAGCATGAATAATTGAAGCATTACATGTTAGTCATAAAGGCATTTTATCAGATATCATGCAATGAAAGAAATACCAGATATGGAGTTTGTCCTCGAGTCAGATACGAACAGTAAATCATGTCAATAATGGATGATTTATCTGATATTAACAGTGATAACCCATGCACCATTAGTAATGATAGCCTTATTGCCTATTCATATGCTGTCTTTGAGTCAGAAACCCGCAGCAAATATTTGCACAATAACAGTATCTGGTGTATACTTGAGTCAGACGCTAGCTGTAAATCTTGCACAAGTCAATGATATTTTATCTGTAAATGAACAGTGATAGTCCATGCTACACATATAATTGCATAATTGTATATTCACAAGCTGTTTTGTCTTTAGTCAGAAACCTGCAGTAAGCTTTATAGGTGTCTTTAATCATACATTATCTGTTATATACCATGAATAATCCATGCAAAACATGTTTTTCAATAAGGCATTACAATCAGTTCACATTTTATACTTCAAAGGGATTTTCCCGAGCATTAGAAAACTGTAATAGCATTAATGTTTGTGTTCTGCTGAACTAATAATTGTTTACAGATAAATCTCATTTACATTTGTTAATTTTGAACTGCTCATTAGTCCAACCTCTGCCTGTATCATGCTTTGTCAGCTTTTTCAGCTGGTTGTTCATATTTTATATTACTTGTAAACAACACTGTTCTTTCGTTGACTGATATATTTACATTGAATAGAATTGAATAGTGTCATATAGAAATA